CTCAGTAGTTTGACTCGTAACGCCATCGTGATATGCTGTGCCTTAATCGTGATGAATGATTCTTTCGGTGGGTGGTAGCGAGCGCGTCGGTTTGCTTGATTTTGTATGTTTTGGGTTGTTGTGCGAGTATGAAGCCCGTCTAGCTCAGTCGGTAGAGCGCAAGACTCTTAATCTTGTGGTCGTGGGTTCGAGCCCCACGGTGGGCGACTGCTTTTGCTATTTTGGCCTCGCGCGCACGTCCGCTCTTGATATGCGTGACGATCGTCCCTGATCCCTCCCATGCCTCCCAGTGTGTATCTGAGTCCTTGATACCGGTGTGGATGTTTGACAGTCGTCCTGTTTCCGATGACTGGTAAAATCTGGCCGTTCTTTCTGCGGACAGGGTCGCGCAGATCGAGTCCGGCTTGCATGCCACACCACCACGCCGCTCGGACTCGATATGTGGACGGGTCCATCAAGGACCTCGGACAGTGTGAAGTGAAGCCGTGTGAGCAAGACGAAGTTGGTGCAAAGAGACAGGGTGGCTGGGCCGATCACGACTCGTTGAATCGAGATGTCCGACCAGTGCTTCTTCTGTCGATCGCGGATCGGGGTGGGGCCTGTGTGGGCTGTGTGCGATCGCTGGGACGAGTGGGTGGTAGCGAGCGCGTCGGTTTGTTTGATTTTGTATGTTTTGGGTTTGTGTGCGAGTATGAAGCCCGTCTGGCTCAGTCGGTAGAGCGCAAGACTCTTAATCTTGTGGTCGTGGGAGCTTTTTTTAAAAGCTGTTCGACTTTTAAATTTTTGTTAATATAATTAACAAGTCGGTTTACGTGGTTGTTTTTAAGTTTATTAAGGGTGATTTGAGGATTAATTCCTATATTTTTACAAATTTTCTTAGATTGAAACTCATTAATACCGTATAATACGGTTAATGAATATAAAATACTTTTTGAATCTGAAATTGTTTTATTAAAAATATATAACATAATAGATTTTATCTATATACCATATAAAATGATAGAAAAAAAAATAAATCCCATAACACCGTCACAACGTCAAACATTTTTATTGAAAAAAAAAAATTTAACTCGAATTTGTAAAATTAAATCTTAACAAAAGGTTTCAACGTGCTAATG